CCTAAAAATTTTGCAACGATCGATCGTGTGGTTTTCGATTGACAGGACTGTTAATTAAGACAATTTCAAAAAGTTTATCGCGGTACCGTGGGTTTAAATTGAGATCTAGAAAGGGCAAATAATTTTTTAGAGATACTTGTTGTCACAATAAACAATGATTTATACTAAAAATACCTATGAATTTTCTCAGGAACGGTTACACTTATCAAGACGATTTCTTTTTAATTTGTTATAGCAAAATGAAAAGAATACGAATAGGTATGTCATCAAAAATCAATAAAATAAATAATTTTTTCACGAATTTTGAGTTTAAAGAATTATGCCACTTTCGCTTGCTTTTAAAAAATAGTTATATTATAGTAATCAAGTTTTATTAGTTTGTGTTCATCAATGCATTCCACGAAATTGATGCTTTAATGATTAAATTAAAAACAAATTATTTTCTTCTTTTAATGATCTCTCTGTTAATTCATTAAAGTATAACAAAATTTTCACTTATAATCTCCCTAGTGCTCGAATTATTTCCCGAAATTTTTTCGAAGAAACGCATATTTTAAAATTTGAGGAAAAATTTCCGGACATTAATTCAAGGACGTGGGGGATTCGTAAGAAAATTTTACACCCAAAATTTATTTTAAAAATTAGACATGCTTCATTTTAAAACTTATTTCGCCAAAATAAAGTTGGCTTGACAGGTAGATATTGTTTTGTGGTGCATGACAAATTTTTAATGGTTTTTAATAAAATATAAAAAACACGTTCCTTTCACTTTCACTTTAGTAATAAATGAGACATTTAATTTTTGAATTTAAATATTTATCTTTGCAACACAATTCACTTAGTATTACCATTGTATAAGTACAATGGTATTACTAAAATAGAAGGAAAGTAAGTTTTTGTAGAAATGCGATGTCTGTGACAGTTTATTAATGATCCTTATTAAACATAAAAATAAAAAAGGCATTTAATTTTTGAATTCAGATTTTATGTTTGCAGTATAATTCACTTAGTATTACTAAAATAGAAGGAAAGTAAGTTTTTGTGGAAAACCGATGTCTATGGCAATATATCAATGATTCCTAAAAAATCATAACTGCAATCAAGTAGGCTTAGGCTTGTGATGTCAAAATCGTCTTCGTTATACGTCACGTTGACAGTCATTTTCTCTAGCTTCTAATTGTTTACAATTAAATCATGGCAGTGAACAACCAAAAAACTAATTTAAAACCTTATTGTATATGTAATTCTTGCACCAAAATAGGGGACATTCTTATGTCTCATAAAAATTTAAAGTATCTGCTATATTTACTGAAAAAAACTGGAATCAGTCCGCATCAAGAAAACCTTTTCGCAGCTATTCAAAAGATTTTGGAGGAAGATATCACATCTTTTTTACTTAAAACCAGGGCTCAACAGAACAGAATTTCATCAAATTATTACATATATTTTATGAAACACAGACATCTGATGGAAATGAAAAATAAAGGTAACAATTATGCTCCTCGTTATTCTCCGTTGCGAAGAGAAGAGTTCCAGCCAGAATTTCAAAAACATTTAGCGTTAATAGAAGAAATCTCGGAACAAATATTTGGTAAATAATTATTTGTATCTATTTATTATTTTAAAATAAATAAAAATATTACAAAGCGAAATTCTGGATAGGTACTGATTTTTAACCATATGACAGCTGTCAAAAAAAAAAATTCCACTTATTAATTTTGTTTGCCTAGCTTGGCAGGAGGAAAAAAATTCCGAAAAATTTGAAGGTTGCCATGGGCAACTGTCGAAATTACAGTATGTAATTGGCTTAAAATGACAGGTGTAAAATTTTCAGTTAAATTAATGATAGGAGGAAGTTGTTATTATGAGGAAAAATGGTATAAAAATTATTTATAGTAATAAAAGTTTAAAAATAGGTATTTTTAGTATTGATCATAAATTAAACTTTTTCAAAATTTTTTTTAATTAACAATCCTGTCAATCGAAAACCACGCGATCGATGGTTGCAAACATTTTAGGGTACATTTGACATATGTTTTACTATTTGTTTACAAAGTTTCATCGATTTTTATAAATATTTACTTATTTTAAAAATTGCTCCAAATATACATACGATTTTCCACTATTTTTCGCCCATTGTAATGCAATTTTCATTCGTAGTTGTAGCTTTATAGGAAATCGTCAAATAAACAAAAAATAAGGAACGACTTTTTTATTTAGGGCTTACTTCCAATGTTACAGGGAAAAATATGTCGAAAACGGATAATTTTTCGTTATTTTTGTATGTTTGTAGTTTCCCTGAATTTAGCAATGGTTTTTTGGAATAGGCAAACTCGGATTCTTATTCTACATAATATTTGTACCTACAATTTTTTTACACAAACGCCAAAGTCTACTTTTACTGGTCTGCCGCCTGGCCTATACTTGTTTTCGATATTTAAAATTTGTTGATGAAAAAATATGAATTTTCTCGGAAAAAAGATTTCCAATTTGAGGAAACGAATAAAAGATACAAAATTTATCCTTAAATTTCAAATTCGCCATTTACTTGCGCTATTTATTCGACATTATTATTTCTGCGGATTCAAAGGACGGATGAATAAACATATAGGTACAAAACACAGCAAGATTGAATCGTTTCAATCAATGTAGCGATTATTTTTCATGGCCGATTTCAGTTCAACTTCAAGCGGCACAGTACACGGATTACAAATGAACCGGTGCTGTCAATCGTTGACGTCTGCCCAGAGCTATACGCGGCGGGCCAATTCACAGGCAACAATGTCGGACATCGCGAACAAAGGTCCTCTCTACCGCTGACATCGCGGCAAAACGTTAAAATTGTGTTTATTCCCAACGCATTGTGAGCAACTACAATGGACTACTTCACCGTACCGATTCAGAATTTATTTCGGTGCTGATGAGATTAATTCTTTATATAAAAGCTTCTATTCTACACATAAAAAATATAATTGTTATTTAGTCCAGGGAACCAAGAATTTCCCCACCGAATTGTTTCGGGTAGAACCGATTGACGTGAAACATGGACTGTAAGTAGAAAATAGCTCAAGAAACAAAAGTTATATGATGCTGATGAGCGTTTTTGTCCAGAGAGAGGAAGCCACCCCTTCTAAAGGGTGAAAAATAAAATATTGAAAATAACCGCAGGTATCGATAAAGCAATAAATTTTAAGAAAAAAGTATCTTATGAATATTTTTCGATAAGTCAATATTTTCTGTTATTGGTGATTGAAAATGTACATTTTTTATTAAAAAATACGTTTTTCTCAGACATTATATGAAAAAAAAAAACATCACGAAGAACGAAGTTATACAAAAAGTAAAAGATTAAGTTTTTTTCATTTATGTAGGTGCAATAGGTGCTGAGATACGGCTGGTTGAAGATAATTTCATGTCCGCCAGAAACAAAAGCATTTAACGTAAAATTACTGAAAAAAAAATCTATTTTTCAATACACTGAACATTTTTTAAAGTACTTTAAAAAATCATTAAAATGAACTTGACTTTAAGTCATTAGTATAAAAATTAACAGAGTTATGATCAAAATAAAATTGTTAATTCGCTTTTTTTTGGAAAAAAAAATCAGTACAAAAACTGATGAATTTTTCACGTGATATAAAATTAACGGTAATCCTTCTACAATTTACGTTTTGTGCTAACAATATATTATACAAGTTTAAACAGTTTAGAATGCATATTTTTGAAAATACATATTACGTTTTGATTGAAAATATATTTTTTTTAATTCCAATAAAATAACATATTTTTGAAAATAAAATAATACTCCGTTGTTTTTCAACGAATCTTAACGATTTTTTTTTAACTTGATGCTCTTTTCATAAGCTTTCCGAATATGTAATAATATATAACTATATCACACTCGTGCGTCGTGTATTTTATTTTACAACTAAGGCTAAAAAATAAAATTAATTTCCAGATTGCAAATTTGAAATTAAAAAAAATGATACATTTCAATGTATTATTATGAAATCTATCATGAAAAAAATCAGTGCGATTGTGAAATTTCCTCGGGATCGTCCAGACTAATAATTAGTTAATTTGTTTATAAGGCCATAACTTGTAAACTATTCAACATACCGATTCCTGATTTCGTGTGAGTTATTAGACAGTGATAAGGAATGAGAGGATGCGATGACAAAACGTTCTGGTAATAATAACGCAGTATATAAATATTTAATTCAAAAGTCATAAATACGCTTCTTCTGTTTATAACTTTTGATCTAATCAATATTTTTTGACGCTCGAGGGCTAGTTTTGTAGGTCTTTTGAAGACGAAAAAAAAAGTACATTAGGTACTGTTTTCTCGTGGAAATGAACGGAAAAAAGTTATTAGCGAAAAACGTAAATTTACGTAAAAATTATACAATTAACCACCATGTAAACAATCTTCCCCCCGTTTTTATGACTGTGGAAACTAATATGTTATTGTACATAATATTTAGCATCTATAGTGATAAATTCAGCTTGCCGAAACAAAAAGTCGCGAAATGGTCGTTTCCCAGCTTATTTTCCTGGCCTATAGATATACATAATAAAATAATATATTCGAAAATTTGAAATTATGACTTTCTGCATGAAAAAAATATTGAGAAATAATTATTTTAAATATTGCATAAATTAAAATAAATCACGAGAAAGTTATTACGATTTTTTTTTTATTTTGCATTGTTTATTGGATTATTGTATTATAAAGAGGTAAAAGAATTTAATTTATCCTGGTTGTACTATCAAATCATTTCAAACTGTTAAAAATATTTTTAAATATTTTTTTATTAGGGGTAGTTTTTTAAGAGTTGAAATATTGTAATAAATTATTTACAAAACCATAAACTATTGAAAAGGTTTATGTCTATAATATATGCGCTATAAAAATATTTTATGGTCAAAGAAACTATTAATTTTATATTTTTATCATTAAGGGTGTTTTTTAAGGGTTGAAACTTTTAAGGTCACCTTACCTTTTCGCCACTGTCCGAGGGCAAGTAGAACGTCAAGACGGTCAAGAAAGATATCCCCATGCAGGGGATGATGATGTTCACGGTGTAGAAGAGCGTCTTCCTTCTCATTGTGATATTGAAGGTAATGTCCAGATATGGTTCATCACAGCACGTGTAAAATTTTTCGTTTCTGAAACCAAAGATACAGATCTTCTAAAAAAGAAACATTTCGCTGGACTGTCCCAAAAGTAATGACCCCAAGATCATTTTTAGTACTTTTAGAGACGTATACTGCTCTCTGGGACTCACCCTCGCCCTTACCCTTCTCAATTGTCGTTATCTAAATCTAATAACTTATTTATAGGGAGCTTGAAGGTAGACTTCCATATTACTGTGTCACATTAAGCGTATTAATGATTTAATTATTCACAAGACGTTAACAACGTTTGAATTTTGATCGGTACAATGTTATGAAAGTCTCTCTTTGTGTGCTGGAAACGAAATTGTGGATAAAAAATGCATGTACCCACCTCACTGCAGGTACTTCGAGGATGTCCCACTCCACCGACATATAAAACTCCGAGAGGTCCACGCCGACGTCCACCACGTTGCTCCCGGCCTTCTCGTCCATATGCCTGAGGTCGACCTGGACATCAATGCGAATTTAAGTACCGCGTAAAAGGCTGCGCCCCTCAAACTCACTTCTATGGGTAACATAACAGTAATTGCCTATATACACTTTATGTACACTTATACGTAATGAAAGAAACATCAGTCCTGTACGGCGTACAACCCTTACACAACAATGTACAACGACTCAACATTAGCACACAACACTGAATAATATACTAGACATATGGTTGACCTACAACAAAGGCAGTCTAATTTTATTTGGTTGTTTTTAGTTCAGTTGTTTTAGGTTCGGTTTTATGTTGCCGGAAGTTGCGGACGTTTCTTGGAAACCTCGCGCGTCGACGGGGGGTTACTTGCTTGTATTTTTATTGCCAGCGGAGTCGCCGAATGGTAATTTCGGATTGGAACTTTGGCAGTAAATTACGGGTCTCGTGAATTATTCATACCGCTAATTGGATACACCAACTTACGGCTTGACTTGGACGAAGATTCGTCGGCTTTGTATTTATTGCCGCCTTGTTGCACATCCTTTATTTTGTCGCCTTTATTAAAGTTAACTGTACCCTTCGAAAAGTCTCACATCGGAATGTCCTAAGCCAACATACTTTTCAATTGCTTGAATTTTCGAAACATTGGCGAATTCTTAACTAAAACGCGTTTCCAAGAAACTTCCGAATCTCCGAGCCGGTGGTTTCGTATCGCTTCAATAATTGCGATTCGAAAGTGTGGAGAATTATTCGAAAACTGCCCCTCGGCTTTTCCTGGATCGACGTCCCTCAGAGCGCCTTTTCGACATCCCCTTAAAATGCGATCCGCGTAGTTTATCGTTCGGCGAAAAAATTGAAAACGGCTCAGCTCGGGGAGAAACAAAGTGAAGGAGGCTTTAAAATTACTTTCACGGGAACCGGCAGTGACTTTTCAGCGGTGGGGTTCGGATGGCGTTGCAAATTTGGATGGTTACATTCATGGTTGTTAGTTGGTGGGTTTTTATAGAGTAAATTTTAGTTTTATGTTTAGAGTGCAACAAGAAGCATGCTGTCAAGACCAGAATGAGATGAGATTGACTAGGGATGGTGCGTGGCGCTCTGGATTGGTGCAGATTGATGCAGTTTTCTATAGGCAGCACATCCAGAAATGTAAAATTTGGTAAAAGTTTACACATAAAAGTGAACAAAAAGAACTTATACGACATGGGTTCTAAACCCAACTATTTTCGAGAAAAAAATTATCAAAATCTTCAAGTTGATACGAACCTCGACATAATTTTGTGCACAGAACACTATAAACTGCAATATTTGCCACGTGTTTAAAGTTTATAGTTTAATTTTAATAAAATAAATATCTTTGCTACTCAAGAAAGTCCGATAAAGTTGATACCATGCAATATGGCAACAGTGCGACGGAATGACAGTGGTATCTCGGCTCTTCTTGATATTGGTAGTGTTGTTCCTCGCTCCGAAAATCATGACCCATACTGACAAGTGAATAGACTTGTCTGGGATTATAGGCCAGAGCAGATCTGTCGAAAAACCCCTTCTTGGATGTAAGAGGGGGCAAGCTAATTTTTGCTGGAATACCTTCAGTCAACTCACATACTAAAAGTGTAGATCCCTAGATCTGGGCCAGGCCCGGAACATTTTCAAAATTGCAAAATTGTTTAAAACAATTTTAAAAAATGCCTATTTTATCTGAGTTTTTTTACTTATATCTTGGAACCTATGCATTTTGGAAGAATATTGAAGAGGAAAAAAAATTATTTTGCGAAAACTATACAACCGATTTTAATGAAATTTGATGTGTTGTTTTCTTATACTCTAAAGTATTTTTTACCAAAATTAAGTGGTTCTGCTCGCACTGTTGCCAAGATGTAATGCCCTCCCAAATATCATAAAAAAATATTTAAAAAACCTTAATATACAACTTTTTTGTTCATTTATGCTTAATTCTCCTTATGTTGAAGTAATGGCGGTGAATTTCTACCACACTATAAAATAAATATAAGAAATTAACGTTGTAACAGATGAGTATAAAAAACACTGCCTACTGGATATGCTACCTTTAAAGTTCCTGCATTTAATGGCTTTGTAGGGTCACTCCAATTGCCCTGTAACATCATACGAGCTCAATCCATCACATTTCACATGAGCGAAAGTCCTAAATGATGTACCGTGACACAATTACAATCCGGAGCGCCACAAAAACCACGGAAAAAGCTGGAAGCGCAGGGCAAGCCGTCCAATGCTACACATCCAGGGTAATTCCTAATTGGAGTCATTAGAACAAAGTGCCATGTACAGCGTTTTTCATTACTTACCGGAGGAACTGTTACTTTTATCGTTATTAGGGGAGGGCGACTTTTTACGACGTAATAAAAACGTTACGGTGGTTCGCTTTCGCTCGTGCAGTTTTTTGCTGGTACGGGAAATGTATGATTTTTAATTTATGTTTCAGGAACTCCAGGGTCTCTCCGTTTATGTGAGTTAATTTTATGTCCCTATCGAGATTCAACGGGTCGAGAAGTTTTTTGGAAATTACGGGACATGAGAGACGACAATTAAAAATTAAATTATAAATGATGGCTAAACGCGACGACATTCAAATAATACTCCTCTTTTTAACAACTACAGTCTAGCTTACGGTTTAGACTTCTTAGAAATGATTTTTTTTTATTAGTTAAAATTTCGTGGGAACTATAACTTAATCCTAGGCAAATATTTACAGGAGTTTTCTTCTGGAAAGAACTATGTCTCTATTAGTTGCTACATGCTTACGGATAACTAGTGGCGGTTTGTAACCAGTACTGCATTCCCCTTAAATATATACAAGAACACTAACAACAGCGAGTAAACCGCATTTGCTCTGCCATTCGAAGCGACATCTAGCTAACATTTATTGAAACGCTCTAAATGATCTCCCTTTATGGAAAAGGTATAAAATTTGTGGTGCCCCAAAAATTCATACACCACCAAAAATTCGAGCTTGCAAAAACAAAACTCTAAAAAACGGTATGTTTGTTTATAATCAAAGCAATTGTAGCTGATTTTTCAGCTGATTTCATAAAACTTACCCGGTTATGGATATAATATTTATATTAGAAACAAAAATTATTTCTAGAGATTTTTTGTATTAAAGAATTGTATGATCATTATATAAAAAAAAATCATGTGAAATTAATATTTGATTGAAATTGTTTAAGTGCACATCTGTCTAAATATTAAAAAAAAGCTTTTAAACATTGTGCGTCTACAGCAATTTTCCTAGTACTTTTTCATGAATTTTTGCTATTTTTGCCCTGTTTTTTGAGGTTAGGAAATTCCTGTGATGTGACCAGGAGGCAAAAATACTACGGATAAGATATGTCGCATGAAAAGTATAGATAACATTTTTTTTTGTGTAAACCACGGTAATAAGAGGACCACGAAAACCACAGTAATACTAAATAAATTTGCAAAAAGCTTAAGCCACATATTAATAAACATTCTTTCGGTTTCGGCAGGATCGCTCTCATCGTTCGTTTGTTTCGATTATCCTGCAAAGGCAAAAAGCAAATTCAGTAATGAATTCCCTGGTCCTTTCGCGAATAAAAGATGGCTATATGCGGGCCCGAAGAGCCAGATAAATGCCTAGCTTCCGGACGTAAAATTAAAACCGGAAAAGGACCGCATCAACAGAAATTTGAATAATCGCTCAAAGTAAAATAATTCAAATCCTCCCCTTTGAAACGGGAAGACTGCACGGTTTTTAGCTTCTCGCGACTGATTAGTACGTCTTTGTGGGGGGAAATGGACGTTTTTAATAAAAAAAAAAATACCGATGAAAAGGTGCTTTTCTTTAGCTTAAAAGCCGGTCTTTCAGCAGAAACTCGTTAATTCTGTTTATTCGCGAAGCAAAAGAAATTTTACGCGGGTTATCAATAAAAATCTTTTTGAGATATTAACTTCGACATAATGTATATGGAAAACGGGTTGTCCCAATTATAAGTGACACACGGTTAACGGCTTGACCCACTTATTTGTGACGCCATGTATATTCCTTCTCTTCACTTGATTTTTTTTTAATAAACCAACCAATTTCGCTTCAATATACAGAATGCTATAAGAAACTTAAAAAATCTATATACTACTCAGAAGAAAATAGTCACAACAAGTATGAACGCTCTAGGTAAGATTGTGATGCGAAGGTGTTACAATGGTAACTTTTATTCCTTAAGAATTTTGTGAATGTAACATAATTAGATAAGATGCTGTACAGGAAAATCTTAATGCATATATCAGGAAGTTTATGCTGCGATATACAGATATAACTAGCAGAAAATTCTTTGTTGAGTGCATGAAACACTATCTGTAGGTTGGGGTGATCGAAAGGCATGGAGAATTTTACGCAGACATCGCTTTCGTCCGTATCAAGTTCCAGAACCTACAACTACAGGGGCGAGAATGGGCGAGGCTGTGTTTGCTAGCCAAGGAATTTTTATAATAGAAATAAAACAACTTGTATACCGATTAACCAACGCTAGTTTTCAATAAATCTCTAGGCAAGGCTGTATAACAACGCAGTAAACATAAACTCACGATCACGGACTTCTTTCTAAAGGGGTCGAAGTGAGCAAGGCCAAGTGCAAGTCATCAGCAATGCCACAAACATAATTCGTGAGCAACTTGTCAAGTAAGTGTGACTACATATCTTATTCGTGGATCAGAACTATGTTTTCGCCTTAAGCCCTTAGTTGAGTGTGTTTCGAAACAAAAAACTATTTTGTTTACAATTTTAATGCCTCCTGACAGTTAGAGCCTACAATCGCAGCAGGCATATTGCAGTGATTCTCAAAATCTCGTAGAGATCTGCATGAGCTACCATGAAAAAAGATTTATTCATTTTTCTTTATGTTACCTGTTTTGAAACTGTTAGAATTCGTATACACCATGCATCAAAGTCCTCCTTATGCATACATCTTGACTGAAAAAAGTTTGGGAACCACTGGCCCATTACGACACCCATAATTCCAGTCTGCTG